GTGATCCGAAATCCTTCAGAGACTTTTGCTCATCAGGAGTGAAATAAACATATTCACCGCCAAACTTGTAGGCCTTCTTCGTCTCTCCCTTCTCGACCGTTCGGGCACTATCCTCGGCGATTCTGGTAGTTTCACCTGCGGCAATCTGTGGCTTCTCACCGTCGAGCCAGATGTAACAGGTACGAGCGGGCGTTTGGCGATGGACAATATTGTATCCCTTAACCGAGATTCGCAGTCCTGGGGCAATCTCAAAGGGCAAGTTTGAGAAGAGTGCCCGTTTCGCGGTTTGCTTCGAATTCACATTCGAGATGAGCGAGTTGAGCAGGGTAAGTCCGTCTCCAGATTTGGAAGTGCGAATCTCAGACATGTTGGCTTCACCAACTGGGTCACGGTAGATGATATCCTTTGTTTGTTAGCCGATTTGGTCATGTGTTTGAGGGTGAGTCTTACATCATAAAACTTGTTCAGGTCAAAAGTCTCATCCCCTCGAGTGATAGGGAAGAGATCAATGATGATACCAAGATCATACAGATCCTTTGCGCGGACAGCTGCAGCTGATCTTGCCTGCTTGTCAGACGCATGAGGGTCGTCGTTGTCAGTCACTATGAACAAGCGACGACTTCCAAAGTTTGCGGCCTTTGTTGTGAAAATCTGGTTGGCGCAGAAGAGTACATTGGCCATGCTGGCAGGCTCCTCTGCAGGGGTCAACACTTCATCCTCATCTTCCCCCTCTTCAACCAGAGCCTTCAGGGCCTTGACGTCCTCCGCCGCAGGGACGTCGAGATCAGTGAACAAGTAACAATGGGGATAACCAAGTCCACTACGACCGTCACCCGAGTCCTGAAACTTGGACTTTTCAGTGCCGAACAGGAGAATGCCCATCATGTCCTTGGGGTTGGAGATGATGCGCTGCTCCATCAAATGGTAGGCGCATTTCAACGCTGCCTGTACGGGACTATCCCGGTCCGCCTTTTTCGAGTCCGAGTGCGGCGGTGGCTCAAGCATTGACTTGCTCACATCTATCGCGAGCAAGATGGCATCCTTTTGCGCCTTGTAACTCTAAAAGTGGATCAACATGGTGTAGGAGAGTAAGAGCCTTGATACTCACGTTCTCATCAATCTCCTGCTCCCCCTCATCTTCATCTTCTTGGCGCCAATCTTGCTTGTCTGCCATTGTTGATGTTTATGTGTGTGTTATGGCAAAATGATGGTTCTCATTGCGCGTCAGCTGGAACTTAATAAAGAGCTGAGTGATCTCATCCTGCGGGCCATAGCTCTAGGCAAACGCGACCTCTGTAACAGGGGGGCGCGATGTTGCCTGTCGCGAGGTCACGTGAATCTGGGCATTGATTACCATCTTCATGATTGGCGGGGAATGTCTTGTTGGGAGGTACATGTGGTGCCGCGGACATTCCGCTGTGGCCGAGGTTCCTACTAGCGCCCAACATCTCCCGTCTGAAAATTCCGATAAGATGCGCTGCTGGCGATCCCGGAGGCCGTGGAAATGCGTGCATCATCGCCGCCCTAGCTGCCAAACATAATAATTCTTGCGCCCCTCAGCTGTTTCTCATTACCAACCCTCACACCACTACCAATTGACGTTCGGCCGTTCTCTTCTCTCCTTTTGTACTTCACTTTTCAGTCTATTCACCAACAATGGCTCTGCGACGCTCAGGGGGCCAGCTCTACAAGGGCATCTCCCAGGTCAGCTCCCATCGACTTGCGCTCCCTCAGATCGCCAGCCAGAAGCGATATCTGGCCACCCCAGTCCCTCCCGTCACACAAGATGCCACAGGCTCCAAGGGGCCGACCGCCATGGTCTTTCTCAATATGGGAGGTCCTTCTACTATCGATGAAGTCGGTGACTTTCTCAGTCGTCTCTTTGTAAGTATCACCGACGTCCCGGAACCCCTCGGAGATGCTAACTTGCCACAGGCTGACGGTGACCTGATCCCCCTCGGTCGGTTACAAAACTACCTTGGCCCTCTCATCTCCAATCGACGAACCCCCAAGATCCAGAAGCAATACCAAGCCATCGGCGGAGGATCTCCCATTCGAAAGTGGTCCGAGTACCAGAGCTCCGAGATGTGCAAGATCTTGGACAAGATCTCCCCCGAGACCGCCCCCCATAAGCCTTATGTCGCTTTCCGATATGCGGATCCCCTGACCGAGGAGATGTACACTCAGCTGCTGAAGGATGGGTTTGGCAATGGCCGTGGCGGCAGGGCCGTCGCATTCACCCAATATCCCCAGTACTCTTGCTCGACAACAGGCAGCAGCTTGAATGAGCTCTGGAAGTGGAGGCACAGGCTCGAGGGTAAGACCAACAAGGAGTCTGGTGACGGAAGCATTACATGGAGTGTCATCGACCGCTGGCCAGTCCACAGTGGTCTCGTGGAGGCGTTTGCGCAGAACATTGAGGCGAAGCTGGCAGAGTATCCCGAGGAGCGTCGCAAGGACGTTGTCCTGCTCTTCTCTGCACATAGTCTTCCCATGTCTGTTGTTAACAGAGGTTTGTACTCTACCCCGGAAATATGAACGGACCTAACATGGAATCAGGTGATCCTTACCCCGGTGAGGTCGCGGCCACCGTCTACGCTGTCATGCAGCGCCTCAAGTTCTCGAACCCATACCGACTATGCTGGCAGTCTCAAGTCGGACCATCCGCCTGGCTGGGACCTCAGACCTCGGACAGTGTGGAGGAGTACATTGCCAAGGGCCAAACGGACCTTGTTCTTATCCCCATCGCCTTCACATCAGACCACATCGAGACTCTTTACGAGCTGGACGAGGAAGTGATTGGTGAGAGTGGCCACCGGGATACCGTCAAGCGAGTAGAGTCGCTGAACGGCAGCCCCGTGTTCATCCAGGCTCTGGCCGACATTGCCAAGGCACATCTTGCCGGGAACCAGGCTTGCTCGGCTCAGATGGGCCTCCGATGCCCTGGCTGCAAGAGTGAGAGGTGCGCCGAGTCGAAGCGATTCTTTGCGAGTCAGCAGGCTGGTCTTGTCTAGGGGGGATACACCCAAGTAATGTTTATGAGTGGTTTGGCATGACACTGTATTATAGCTCAGGAGCGCGAGCGTTTATGTGTAATCAAAAGTGTAGTCTTTCAGGGCAGGTCAGGTAGTTTACGGGTCAAGAGTGGTTGGGTCTGTATAGATACGCCGATGGCAACTCTTCGCTTCATCCTGCAGCCGAACATCTCTGCACCTTCTCGTCGTGGTTCGGTCTGAAACTTGTGATGCTTTTATGATCATTTTATGTTTCTACGGGTAGGTTAGGCATTTTCTATATGCGCCTTATGATATTCTGACCTGAGTCTTGGTAAATTTTACTACGTAGTAGGCCTAATTTTACGAGAGAATTGTGAGGCCTTTCAGGTAAGACGCATCTCCTGAACTACAGACCCTATTCCGGCCGGCATCTGCCAGTTGGAAAAGCTCATACCGAGCGACGCCGGCCTGAACAGCCGACTCTGTGGCTTCCTTCTTCTTCTTGACCGGGCACCGGTTTATTCCCATTACAACACATCTATACCAGCTATTTATACTTGGCTCTGGCCTGACCCGATCATCCCAACATCCAAGATGATGAAGGGGGAAACAGCTGGTTTCCCACTGTGGAAGGAGCCTTCTGGCACATGTACTTTACTACAAAATGAAACGCCACAAGGAGTTCCTTTAGACAGGAGAATCACCAACCTTTCATCATCCCAATTCGGGTACCCTTGTCTTCCCGCAGCCACGGTGATGCCAACAGGCATCGGCCGAGTGGCCATGCTTGCGGCAAATGTCTGATACGCTCAAGACATCAAATTCTGGAAGTCCCTTATATATTGTAGCTTTATGACAATACTTAGACCAGGATGTGCTCATTTCTTTGCTGCCGTGATGTTCTTGGTCAACGGTACGGCCCCATACAGCCCCATACGGCCCCACACGGCCCGGACCTTACTTCCTCAGCCGAAAACGAGGAACAAAGCTGTTCTCCGCGCTGCGCAGGTCACAAAATTTGCAAGACCTGCAAAAGGATAGGAATATGCAAAGACATGAGGCTGCTGATTAGCAGGCCAGCATCGTAAGCCCAGAGCAATGACAACTTTCGCCTGGAGCAGCGACAAAAGAGCAAGTGATAGCGAGATGAACCACAAACACCACGCTGTGAGCAGAGCGAGTTCACCAACAAAAAAGCAGTTGAAAGAGCAAAAATAGGATCGACAACGGCAGGATTCGAACCTACGCGTGCGAACACAATGCCTAGATATGCAGGATAGCAGGGCATCGCCTTAACCACTCGGCCACGTTGTCTATTCCGAATTTGGTGATGGACGACCTCGATATCCACCTTCATGTCCTCAGGGCAGGGGGGTGTATTACACGACAAAACAAGGACGGAGGAGAATGAAGGAGAGATACAGATCTACTATTCTCGATGTATTGCGGCAGTATGGTCTCCCTTGGTGGTGGTGTGTCATAGAGCAACTCCCTGTTCCCCGTGACACTGTTGGTAGGTAGTTATGCGAACACTTGTGAGCATGAACGAATTGCAATTCTAGGAAATTCAAACGGGATTTTTGCGTAATAAAAAAATCCACATGAGTCCCCTAACGTTCCCAGCCACCGACCAAAATTGGTGACCCCAGTTGGCGCAGCGTTGACCATCATTGAGCAAGCTTCAACCAAGATAATCGCCCACCATCTGATATCTTCATCAAGCAAGCACTGAACTCGCCATACTTGCCAGGATGAAGCTTCAATGGAAGGATTTACCCTTCCTTTCATCCATGTCCAAGCAGCATCCTGGAGACACATTTCGCTGTCTAGCGGCCGGAGGGTATCAGGAGCGCTTCTGCCACTTGGCGAAACTTGTTCCTACGGTTGAATTGAAGTAGGCCATAGTCAAAATATCACAATGGGGGCCTGATTTCGCGCGGTGGCGAGCAAAAACGCATTCCAAAAAGAAAAATTCTGGAAAATTCCACAGAGCTCCGTTTAAAGCGACAAGAGCAGGGTTCGAACCTACGCGGCCGAAGCCATAAGATATCAAGAGGATTTCAAGTCTTACTCCTTAACCACTCGGACATCTTGTCTTGAAGTTGGGATGCGTTTCGAGATTTCAGATTTGCGTGATATGGTGTATTTACCAAATTTGGACTAGCCTTGTGGGGCCCAACGGCAGCCCGCGCGCCACCATGCACCTCGCCCCACTTTCATCCTTTTCTTAGATACAGTACGTATTTTTTTCTCCCGTTCACGTGAATGATCTTGATCAAGATCAGATAACATGAAGACCAACAAAATCGTGTATTCAGAGGACTATTCTCGAAGCCTTGCATCGGCGAGGGGTATTTACAAATGGCCCGTCCGGAATTGAGTGTCTTACGACGTTCAGGTACTCCCACGCATCTTTGGAAGAGGGACCAACCGCCTGCTGATGTTCGAGATGGCAAGTCGCCAGGCCGGCTACTCCAGTCAAGAGCAGTGCCGTCAGCCACGGTGGCCTGGGCCGCGTCTTCCAAGCCATCAGCCGTCTTCTTGAATTTTCTCCTGTTCTTCTTCTTGGTCCCGAAACTGGCTGACCCAGCTACAACGCATGTATGTGACTGGCCCTTGACGCTTGGTCCTGTGCGAGAATGAACCTGAAGTTGCCACCCGACATCCAAGATGGTGCCGAGGGCTCCCCACTGGTTGTGTTATCCCTTGGAGAGACGACGGTTCGGTCCAAGGTCCGGTCCACAAGGTCGAACTGTTGAGTCTGAAGAAGAAAGAATGTCAGATCAAAAGAAAAATGATGAAAGAAAGAAATGCTTCAAAAGGGACCAAGAAGAACGACCTGTCAATGATGTCAGCATACTCCAGACACTAAAGCAGCATGTCGATAGCAATAGATAGGGGGGTGAGTACGTGTTTCGAAGTGTACTTGGTTAACTCCAGGTAGCCATTGGGTACGGGAAGGGGTAGGGTAGGGTAGGGATAATGGGGCCAGGTGACGACGGCGAGACAGGCTAGAGAGCAAGCAAGATCTCTGCCTGTATAGAGCCGGGTCCAGGGACAGGAGCTTAGGACAAACAAGATCGAATGCTTGACACGAAAAGAATGACGTGACAGGATGTCGACATGTAGTCTTCTATCGTCAGGTGGTTGATGATGATTTAGTTACCCTATACAACTAGCACTTACAACAAGGGCACTAGGCGTTCCGGTGGCCGCATTCTGGTTTGCATGGTAGAAAATCAACATAAACACAATACAAAACCACCATAAAAACATGAAGGATCATGAGAATATCCTACTTATTATTTTCTAAATTTTGCTAAACCTTTAGTATCATCCTTAGAGGAGTTTCATCTTTCTGGCGTCTTTCTCGGCTGGCGAAAAGTGTTTCCGAGGACGCGCTTTGGATAGACTCTCAAAGACCTGGCCGTTTTTGCTGTGTATTTCGCTGAGAATTTGCAGTATTTAAATCGAGGCGGACGAACAGCCACAACAATACATGCGTCGACCACGTATTACCTACTGTAAGTGAGACGGGGTTGGCTCATGTCGAGTGACGTGGATGGATGGTATCGAGAGGCGGTCGAGTGGCACCTTGGCGGAGCCGGGCTGGGCCGGGGCCCAAGACCCACCATGGGAAGGGAAACAACTTGACGGAAGTTGGCTGTGTTTGATGTTTGACGGGGAATAAACGAGGGATGGACGGGCTCTAGCACAGACGTGGGAGCGGCCGAGGCGCGCCACTTGACAGCGTTTGGGCGATGTGACGGTCAGAGAAGACAGGAGAGTTTGGCACATTTGAAGACGAGCGTGTCATTGTCGATACTTGTTGATATGACTAACTCAGTATCGATAGAGCTCTAGAGCTGTAACTGGAGCTCCTAACGCCAACGGCCTCGCAACTCTGAGAACCTAAGGAGTTGCATACCCCAACACAGACCGACTATTTGCTGGTGATCAAATTTCAAGCAGCGGGCATGTCTTGTTGTGTGCTTCAGACCACTCGTCAAGGGTGCTTGGCTAGGCTCCTTGATGTCTTGCCTTCCTATGCCGTGTTGTGTAAGGAATGGCGGTAGTTGAGACCATTATGGCTGAGATTGTTCGTGCCACCGCATCACATTAAGAGAATGCATTAACCTGCGCAGAGATAGGAGAACTGTAACCTCCTTAAAGATGGTCGTCTCGAGATGCCGAATCCCTTGGCGCGTCGTCCCATCCATGCGACGCGACCAGGCTGGACTGCCGTTCCCCTTTTGGAACCAAGCTTAAGCTCGGAGCCTAAGGGAGCTCCTAATGACACTGGGCCGTGAGCTCCATTAAAGGGACTCCACGAACGGCAAAACAAGATCAACAGCGAAACGATCCAAGACTCAGCGACTGCAGCCCAGAGCCTTATTACTACGTCTCACCAAGTACAGGTAATTTGCTTCAGGCTTGGAGGCTGGGAGATTGGGGGAAGGAGAGCTCCAGCACAATGCCATTTAACCCCTGTCAAGGCCGTTAATTGGACCCGTACCCCCAGCAACCAATCAGGAGCGTGGACTGATAGTGGCCGTCCAGCGACCTTCCAGCAGCCCTGCCCGCTAATTCTCCAGAGCTTGCCCCTGGGCCTTGGGAGCCCGCCCCCTGAGACGCTAATCCTCTTAAGGCATAGCGTCAGAAACCCCTTTTGTTGCAGGACCAGGCCGGCACGCTCTGCCCAAGGACGCTTCTGCTGGGGGAGAACAGCACATCAGAATTTCGTCTCCTTGTTCCGCCTGTCGCTCGCACCCAAAATTTCCCTTCTTCTCCTCGACTCTCTTTTACCCCCGTTCCGTTCCTCATCATTGCTAAGTACTTTCTCTCGATCGCCTCCCATCGCGCGTGAGAGCAGGTTCCGTGTCGACACTTTGAGGCCTTCCTTCTAATCCTTCGTCTTGCCGACTTGCGACGCCCATTGACACGCGTCTCCTGGTAATTAATTCCGGGTGAGTTGCTGTCCTCGTTCCACCTCTCGACTCTCCCTGCCCGCCCCGACACTCCCACGACTCGAGAAAGCGCGCCCTCGATAGACTCAGATTTGCTTCGACAACTCCTCGACGGATGCGCCTGTAGCCTGAGCAGCATCTGTGTTGACCGCGGCCCTTTCTCTCGTCGTCTCCCTCCGAACCGACCTCGTATAGCTGGCCTTTCTCCTGACGTAGCTAATCTCGACCTCTAGAACCCGTACTTTCCCACGAGTCCCTTTTCATCGATCGTTCTTGATACATCACTATGGGTAAGATGCTTCTTTCTTTTTCGCGTGCGCAGACCACGCCACATGGCAGCCAGCAGAGGCAGAGGAGAGGAGGAAGGAGCTGCCCCCTCTTGGCCACGAGGACAACTTGCTCTGGAGCTGGACCGGCTTCTCTCATCATCACCATCGCTTCTCGATAACGCGACGACATTCGTTCTTCCGCCATCTACGCTTTCTTGGGTCCTCTTCTTAGCCCCTTTTTGGTCTCGAAGCATTCCTCGTTGAAAATCAGCTCTTCACTGCAACCCCTGGATCAGCCATGACCTTCGACCTGATCCAACACGTCAAGGCACGCACCCGGAGTGTGCATTTCGACAAGGGCACATTTTCGTTGACCTCTACATCCCCTGTCGAGTCGAGTGCGAAAACGTCCAATGATTCCAAGAGAGCGAGCAGCCTTCCGGTGGGACAGGAGAACCAATCCCCATCTCCTGATTCCAGCCTTGCAACCGTCCAGTATCGCAGCATGCTCGCGGTCGAAGCAGAGGAACCTCCGACATTGAGCCCGATGAATCCCATGAGCTTTGACGAGCTATACGTCGACCCTACCCAATCGCCCGATTGGAATCAGCTCAGACCCTCGAGAATCGGCACCAAGAAGATCGCCAGATTGATCCTCGCAAGTGGCCAACAAAGTGCAGCAGATTCATCGAGTCAGGATTCCTCTTGCCTCTGCATCTGCTAGAATATTTATACATCAATTTTCCTCGTCACCTGCTAACACTCTATTAATAGCTTCTCCCGGCAGCGAATCCCCGGCTCTGGCCCCTTCAGCCTCGCCCCCTAATGGTAAGTTACATCCCGACTTCTATCTAGCTTTCCACTAACCATGCACAGTTCCCTCCCAGCCGCCTCCCGCCGCTGACAACCGGAACATTGTCCGAAGAAAGCTCACTGGATATGTTGGTTTCGCCAACCTGCCCAACCAGTGGCACCGCAAGAGTGTCCGAAAGGGCTTCAACTTTAACGTGATGGTGGTTGGTAAGTTAAATGACGGCCATCTTATAGGAGTCTGCTAACAGTACTAGGCGAGTCCGGCCTGGGCAAGTCTACTCTGGTTAACACCCTCTTCAACACCTCGCTCTACCCTCCCAAGGAGCGCAAGGGCCCTAGCCTCGACATCATTCCCAAGACCGTCACCATTCAGTCCATCAGCGCCGATATTGAGGAGGCCGGTGTCCGTCTTCGCCTCACCGTTGTTGATACCCCTGGGTTCGGCGACTTTGTGAACAACGACGAGTCGTGGCGCCCCATTGTCGACAACATTGAGCAGCGATTCGACTCGTACCTCGACGCCGAGAACAAGGTCAACCGCATGAACATTGTTGACAACCGAATTCACGCCTGTGTTTTCTTCATCCAGCCCACTGGCCACTCCCTGAAGCCTCTTGACATTGAGGTGATGCGACGCCTGCACACCAAGGTCAACCTGATCCCCGTCATTGCCAAGGCCGATACCCTCACTGATGAGGAGATTGCCAACTTCAAGGCCAGAGTAAGTTGCCTGTTACTATTCTAGACATCAAACGCTAACCACGCGCAGATCTTGGCCGACATCAAGTACCACGGAATCCAGATCTTCGAGGGCCCCCGATACGAGCTCGATGACGAGGAGACCATCGCGGAGAACAACGAGATCATGTCCAAGGTCCCCTTCGCCGTTGTTGGTGCCAACAACGAGATCACCAGCGCCGATGGTCGCAAGATCCGAGGCCGTGCTTACCCCTGGGGTATCATCGAGGTGGATAACGAGGAGCACTGTGACTTTGTCAAGCTCCGACAGATGCTCATCCGAACCCACATGGAGGAGCTCAAGGAGCA